TATATATATATATAATGGAAAAACCCTACAAAGAAAAAACATCCAAGGGTCTAGCCCTGTCAACGTAATCCACCATGTGATTTTAAGCTCATATGTCTACAATTCTCCTGAATTAAAGAAGATAAAATTATAAACTTGATAATCACATATGTACAATAATAGTCTTAATTAGATTACATCATATGTAATTTTTAGATATAATAAAAATAGTTGGTCACAAAGGACGTAGTTGAAAATTATTATAGTAGTAGCTGGCCACAAAGACGATCGTTAGTGACTGCATTAGTGTTGGTTGGCCACAGAGACCAAGATTGGAAGTTATGGTAGTAGTTGACAATATATGTCATAGTTATGAGCTACAAAAATATCAGTTGACCAAATAGGTTATAGTTGATGATTGCAAAAGCATTAGTCGATCATAGAGACTGTAGTTGGTTGTAAGACCCTCAAAATGGAATTACAGTTTTACACCGGATACTAAATTTGTTAGTAAATAACTTAAAGAAAGATATAAGTGTTAGGATTGGCCATTGTATTCAGGTTACGGTGGTTATAAGCAGTGGTCATCGTTAGTCGGTGGTAAGTGAAGGCAAGTGGTGACAGTTGGCTATGATCAATGATGATCAGTAACTACGGAGGCTGGAAGTTATCATCGGGTCTTTAATGCTGATGTTATATGTTACAACCGTATTTGTGATAATATGTAGCGGTAAGACGTAAGCGGTGGCCGATAATGTTTAGTGGTTATGGATGTCAAACATTGTCGCCGGTTCTTTAGTTCAGAACGAGCTTTAGAATTCTTCTTCTTCTCCTCTCCCCACTCAAGTGAAGAGAAAGGGTCTGTTTATAACTTTGGGGGAGGGGCATTTTGCTCTTTTGACAAATAACTTCCCAATCACTTGATATGACAGGACGTATCGATCCTCTTTGATCAAAAATTTTTTTTTAATGATTTAAGTGTTTTAATGCCCTTAGACTTGAGTGATATTGGGCTTGTTTGATTCCTATCGTTGAGACAGTAGATTTGACTATAAATATGTCAAATTTGAAGTTTCTTTTATAATTTAATTGATGATCTAATGTCTTCAAATGTGTTTTAATATCTTGATATGTGTTTTATTTGACTCAGATTGAATCAATTTTGGTATCATCAGGTTCATTTAGTAGACACGGTCAGTTTGACTATATACTTGTTGAATCAGGGCTCTTAATGATCTTGAATTCGAATAAAAAAAATTATTTTCTAAAAGAGCCTTAAGATTCATGCTAGAAAATAAATATTTTGTGATGATGCATTAGGTATGAAATGTTTTAAACTTTACATTACATAGAAAGTATATATAATATTAATAATTTAATTATTTATTTACCTAAGCATCAAAGTGATAGACATGTAATTATATGAAATATTTTGATATATATGTAAGTTCATTTATTTTTTAAATGAAGATCTAGTTAAATTAATGCCTATTTATGGCCAATCTCTACATCCTTTACTCAAATCGCACTATAAATTTCAACCATCTTGCAATACCAAAATCTTTTGTTTTTCTTTTTTCTTTTTTCTTTTTTCTGTACTTACCTCCTCCTTTTTAACCCCCCCACTCAACTCCTCTCCATCTTGCACCTCTCATCTTCCTCATCCTCCTCCTCCCCCTCCTCATTTCTCTCACCACCTTCTCAGTCTTCATCTATCAAAACTTCCAATATCCCTCTTGGTCTATCCAAAACCCAAAAATCATTACAGAAACCCATACAAAAACCTTCCTTTTTTCCCCAAAAAAATCCTCTGTTTCTACCTCTCCGAATCTCACATGCAGTACCCTTACCTCCTCTTCTTCCTAATTGATGTCGCCTTTCATAAGTGAACTCCTGCTCTCAGGTTTTATGTTAAGTTCCAAACTCCTCCGACGCCGACGAACCCATCTCGCTCAATCATTCTCCGTCGTCTTCCTCTACTGGTTCTACGTCTTCTCATGAGCATCGGTTTCCCTTTCGCCTAACACTCATCTTCAAACACTAAGCCTCCTAAATAGCATACTACATATTGCGTCCCTTATTCTCCGGAACGACCCTCTCCTTCCTTGATTATGGTCTCTTCTTCTGTAATGGCGCAGAGGAAGGAGAAGAGAATGCTGTCGAATCGAGAATCGGCTCGCCGGTCTCGGATGAGAAAGCAGAAGTACTTGAATGATCTTATGTTGCAGGTGAGCTGTCTACGGCAGGAAAAAGATGAGATTTTTACTGCTATCAATGCTACTTCCCAGCGCCATATTGGAGTCGAAGCACAGAATTGTCTTCTGAGGGCGCAGCTGACGGAGCTTATCAAAAGGTTACAGTGCCTCCGTCATATCATTCATTGCATGAACGTCGCCGACGCCGGCGACGGCGGGGGGAGGGGATGTGTTGGATTCGCGTCGTGTTTGCCGGATGCTGAGGATGACAGCTTGCTTCGACCATGGACTTCTCTGCACATAAAGCAGGGTCTTCAGGGTTCTGATGTGTTTTAATATTGTTTAGATGGAGGAAGTATCAGAAGTGCAACCTATCTTTTTTTATTTTTTTGGGTTTTTTTTATTATTTATTATATGCTATAAATTATATAAATTATCATATATATAATAATATGTAGCAATTATGTGTTATTATTCCCAATAATGTATTGTCTGCTGCAGGTAATCTCTTAGTGATTGCTGTTGTCGCTATTTCTTGCAAGAGAAAAAAAAAAGGTAATTAATTTCAGTGGCATGTATGTGAATATGAATGTTTAGGGGTTAGCTATGCAAATACATAAAAATTGTGTGGTATGTATGCAAATGATCTGAAATGTTAATATTTAGAGAAGCTGGTCATGAAAAATATAACTTTTTTAATTTTCTATTTTTAAAACAAACAAAATGCATAGGAATTTATAATCACAATAATTATATGTATTTATAATTTAGAATTAGCGCAAGGAGGAAGGCAGGAAGCATCTTACAAATTCGGGTCCCAAAAAAGGGTTAATTTAAATTAATAAAATTGATTCTGAAGGTATAATTTAAATTGAAATCAGATTCCCCTTTGATTCGAGAATTATGTACTTTTCTCTTTATTTTTTCTTTACATGGCTGATGGAGAATCTAATGCTTGTTTATACAATTTTCACAACATCATATGGAAAGTTTGGGATTTTTACATACATGACCACCTATTTCCTATGTTTTTTTTTTACATTTCCAACACCTAAACTTCACCCTTTTAGGTTTATATCATCTGCATCTTTCATATCACACCATTTAATTTTTTAAAAAAATGAATTACACCTGTTACATGCATGGCTTTGGTTTTACATATGTAAATACTCGAGAAATGAGTGGTATGTATGTAAATTTTCTTAAAAGTTTTAACAACAAGTAATTTCATTATTAAATTATATATGAATGTAAATCTTCTAATAATTTATTAATACTCATATTTGATTAGATGAATGTCTTAATGCATGTTTAGTTGGTCCTCCCTATTAATATTATATAGAAGATAATTAAACATGATAAACTCAAATAGAATAGTCGAATTTGAATGATTAATATCAATTATCTTAATCATTTTGCTTATATGCAACATATATAAGTGGAGGCATAATAAAAGCAGTGAGATGCATTTAACTAATGATTAAAATATTAAGAAACATAAAAATGAGGGGAAAGGTGGTTGAAGCTATGAAGATTAAAGTTAAGTTGAATAATGAGGTCATAAGTTGTGAAATTATGGGAGTAGCCTATCACACTCTTTTTCCTCTCTCCAACTTTCTTCCTTAATTTAATGCTACTAAGAATCATGTTTTTGTATGTTTGGCGGGGAAAACCCCACCTGTCAACCTAAATAATTTTATTTATTTGTTTGTTTATTTAACTAATTTAGATTAATTTTTAATTGAATAATGTTCGTCTTAAGAAATGAACTTCAATTTTAAATGACATACAAACTTAGAACTACAGCTAGAACCACTCTTATCCATGATTTTTTATCCCTAACAATATTATATGTTTACACATTGGTTGACACGGGTGTCTCCCTCACACGAACAACATAGTATAGGAGCCAACTGCGGATGCGTTGATTCACACGAACAACATAGAGCCGAACCGAGAGACCATTTTTTATTCCTTTCCATTTTTAGCAAGTTTTCTCCTTTACTTTCATTCATTTATAGTCTTTTTTTTAATATATTTGTTGTATTAGGGTTTAGATTGGAGTTTAGCTAGTGTTTTCTATTTGGACGATTGTTGGGGTTTAGGTTTTCCCCTTATTGGAATGCATCTAAAGGGTGAGTGGTGCTCTGGTTTTGTCTCATTTCGAGGTTGTGATTAACCTCAACTTACCCCACCTCAGCTATCATCGTCGTTGTTCTTGCTACCAACCCTTAGAAACAACCATCATTGATTATTTTTTCTTCAGTTTCTGCCTTCCCACTCTTCCACCATCTTCCAACATTGCTCCCCACCACTCCACATTGTACTTTCCTACTGCAACCACCCCATACCAGTTGTTCTTGCTATTTTACTGTAGTTCCCCTCTTCCCAACTGCTTTTATGACCTCTTGTTTCTTTGCCCTTGTTGTCCAATTGGGACAGAAAGAACAATCGGTATGGGGTGGTTGCAGTTCCCCCTTCCCAATTGCTCCCCCCCCCCTGTCACCTCCACCGCGACCACAAAATCTTCCCTTTGATGTCATGCTACTGGTCCAGCCACCCACAAGGCTTACTGCACCTCTAGCACCCTCTTGAAACCCTATTTGTTGAATTTGGCACCTTCTGACAACCCAATCTACCTATTCTAACCCACTTCATCGGCCTCTACAACTATTAAGATACACTTTAGTTGTGTTTGTTTGTTTCTATTGTTGTATTTTCCTTTCAGTGTTTAAGTTATAACTGCCTAATAATATTTTTTTTTCTATTATTATTTAGCTTAATCATGGTATCGTTGATATAGAAAAGAATTTGATAGAGAGTGATCTTCATATGTATATTTTACAAACAATTGTGATAGAAAGAAATAATAAAATAAAAGTTGCATTTCTTTTGCTATTTGGTTTGTCACATAATACTTCAGTGGTTTAAACAGCCTCAACTGCTTTGAATTTGTAATGATTAATCATACATCATCAATAAATTTTCAAATATAGCATGGATTTTAAGGCTTGACACAGATCTCGAGGTAATTTTTTGAGCAAAAAAAATTTAAATTTTGATTAAAATTCATCCAGAGCTATGATAAAAAAAATTTTAAATTTTGATTAAAATTCATCCAGAGCTATGATTTCAACAAACTTATAGTTAAGTTGACGGGGTCAACGAAACAGACCCAATAATATCAAAATCAGTCTAATCTCAGTCAAATCAAGCTCAAATCAAGTCATTAAATCACTCTTAGAAGATTTTTGAACGTGATTTTTGAACGTATTTAGAATGTCAAACAAATGTAGAATCTATCGAGCCTATAGTCGAATCGAGCGTCTTGACAAGACGAAGTGAACTCAAGATAGTTCAATTCTGACATTGTTAAGGCACTCAAATGTCCATCAAACATTGTCTAATCGAAGGAAGCTCTCTAGATCGTTCAATCAAAGTGGTTTATATTTCTATATTAATTGCACCCATAACACGAAATAGAGCCCCACCCGTCTTATGAGGGGGATGAGAGTTTGAGATCCGAGGAAGAGCTTGAAGCTTTGAGAAGGAGCTGAAGAACAACAACACTACCGCCAACCGTCCTTGACCACCACCGACCTCCGTCAACTACCGTCGACTGTCGTCAAATTTCGTCGATCACCTTGACCAACATTGACTGCGTCAACCACCACTGACCTCCATATACCACCGCCGACCGCGTTAATAAACGCAAATCTCTGTTGATCGCTGTCGATCACCATCAATCACTGCCAACCACCATCAACCATCGATGGCCACTGTCGATTACTGTCAACCAACTTTGACCACCAGTGACCAGACGTCGCCAATAGCTATTGATTGTCGTCCGTTTCTAGCAACAAATTCATCTGCACGTCGATATTGTAACTTGGGAAATCTCGTAATCATTTCTCACATGTGGGACAAGTTGTAGCAACTGTAATCATCTTTTTATAAGGAAACTCTTCAGCTGGTCATACCCCGTGGTTTTTCCCTTTTCGGGTTTTCCACTTAAAAATTTATAATGTCATTATTAGTTGCTTTCTGTTTTCTGAGTGTGTGCTAAATTTTCTTACCACACTAAGATGACAATCTACTGCTCTACTGCTAGCACACATCAATTTGAAGCCGTCAGTGGGAAACTTCAATCCCACCATTTAATTACTTGGGACTTTGTTACATGACCACTAGACACAATATTCGGTATAATGGAGCATCCCACTCCAACATTAATCGTTCTAGGGAGCAGTCACAAAGCCAAGGGAAACATACCTCTTCATCTTCCCCCCATAAGAGACTTTATTCTATTGACGAAGCTAGGTAAGGTCCTTGTCTGGAAGACCCAATGCGCATAATTGAGGAGCCTCAATTATAGATCTTACAACTCCTACGCAGGGTTAAACAACTATTACCCACACCATTGGATGGAGTTCATATACCACTAACTCAACGACCTACGAGAAACATACTGCTCGGAGAAACTCGTACCGACCCCCTTAATAAGAAGGAACACTTCCCCTGCCAGGTCGTGATGTTGGACCTTTAAATATCGCAAGTTTTAATCATCCATCTCGTGCAGCTCACTTAGCACCGTCATGCCCTGCTGTTATTTCAAATGATGTCATTCGTAACGAGTTTTGATGCCTCATCCAAAGAAGTGTTTCATACTTTATTTATAGGGCAGACACATAAAGTAAGAAGCATAAACCCTATTTATAGGCCCTGAAACAGAAGCCCGATGCATAAAGTAAGAAGCAATGGTTATGTACCCTATTTATAAGGCAAGTGCGTAAAACGAGGCGTCACATAATGATAAATATCACACCAAACATCTTTTAATATTTATTCAGAATGTCATTACTTTTCAAAAAAAAACGTTATTATAGGTCTAAAATAAAATGCTTTATGAGAGGATCTTCCAATTCCTCAGGCGGGGCATACCCTTTCTGAGTCAAACTTCGGAGGACTATCGTCCCTCATGTCCTAAGATGTTCCATTCAGTCGACATTACGATGGAATTTGGATAGATCAGTCAACTCCTGAAGTGCTCCCAGCTCGCACAAAACCTCGGCCAATCCATCGTGCAAAGCAACAACCTCCACTTGCTAGGGGGTTATTTCTGTATTTTTTCTTTTTTTATTTTTGAAGGAATCGCCAGCTTGTCGTCGTATTCTTTTCTTTTTTGAGTAAATCTTTTTTTATGGATCAAATGAATGATCTGGAGAAGAGATAAATCTAAAAGAATGGACATAAGACCAAGAAGATAAACAAGAGAAAGAAATCATGAAAGGCCTACGTGCGATAAACCAAGTGTGTTTGCCCAAACAAGATCGAGTGAGAATATCTTGACTCAAATATCCACAAAAGAATGTCTATGTTGACTACCAAAAACCAGAGATTCATGTGTGGTTACTTGTTCCAGGGTCAAGAGCACTCCTAAGAGGGCTTATTACACTTGGTTAATTACACCATGGAAGATGCTAAGAATACTCTTGATCAAAGGTGTTGTGTGTTTAATTTAAAATAACAACTAACAAGAATTGTTAAAAAGGGATAGTTATCTCATAGGAGCATCCTGATGCCTATGCCCTCTCGCTAAGTTGTAGGGTAAAGATCAAATCTCTCATGGTCTCAAATGGGTTGCGGCTCATTGACAATCAGGGCCTATGAAATAACTAGGATGTCTAGTAGGAAACATCCCACCGCTTCGAGGTTGAACTGAGCCGTAAGGGTAGGGAATAAATCTTTATGTTTTAAACAAGTAGTGACTGCCAGCTAAGTGAGGCTCGTCAAACGAAATAAACAAGAGCAATACAGTTCAACGAAGGTAGTCACAGATGGGTGTCTTGAACTGCGGATGCTAAGAACGAGCAGTAGACCTTCCCAAGTCATTCAGGGGGACACGTTACACACGTGACATTAAAAATTAATGTTAATAAGGGTCGTCATGACCAAGCCCATGAGCATTGGAGGAGCTGAAATGTCCCGCACTTGATTAGCGACCAAGCCTTCGACGTATCTCACTGATGGACCGGCCCTCATCACCAACGACCCAGACCCCCCTGTTTGTTGCCCCACTACTCCAAGAGAAAGCGACCAATGTTCCATTCGCTCTTGTCAAGTACCAACAACGGGCAAAGGAGCGAACGACTAGTATCCTTCCGAATGACTGCCAACAAGATTCCCATGAGCTCAGCTTGCAGACTGGCCACTGCAACAACGGACTACGCAACATATTTTGACTGCCTACTGTGCTTGTGACTCTCTGACTTGGTTAATTCATCTACATGTGATAAATGTAAAGGAAGGTGTCTTCACAGTCATGTAGTTGCGACTAAGGAGGGCTACCGATCTCCGTTCCCTGATGCTTTTTTTCATCTTCTTCGACGCCTTCGATGAGTAGCGCCTGTTGGTCCCCGGAGCTCACACTGGTGCCTCACTCAGGAATCATAGTCTCTTAACAAGGGACCTTCGACACCTGCCCCTCAGGGTCCCTAGATGAGCCGAATTGACCAGCTGGCGCATGTTCAATCCTCTATCGCTTTTCTTTCATAACCTTGATCATTTTTACATAAGTCGAAAACCAGTAGCCCACTTTTGTCAAAATCTTGGGGTCTACAGTCGAAACCTCGGATTGTTGGCCATAACTCAAATTAGTTGATAAGGGAAAAATGATGATAACAAACGCAATGTCAAGCCTATGGCTCTATTTATAGAGCATGCTGAGTACAAAATCCAAGGAGAGTTGATTATTAAATTGATCTTCTTGACTTTAGGTACGATTGAACTAATAATATACATGTTCTTATCGTAATTGTCACTTTCAATGAGCAGGAAAATTCGAGGAACTAATATGTATGTACCACAATTGTCGGCACGAATCTTAAAGCATTCAAATGTCTCATACGACGTTCAAAAACCAAGAAGTCCTATCGCCCTACTGCCAACCGCACGGTGAATAATCAACCAATACACTACGACGAGAGATTCAAACGACAGACCACGCTGACAATCTCAATTGATCGGGGCACAAGCGGGAATCCTTGATCGCGGCTAATCAGTCAACCCGTCTTTACTATGGAGCACAAGATTGACATTCGATCAGGTGCCTCGACCCAATCAACACATACTTCAGAAGACACATTCACCAATCAACTGGTCGCCTCGGTCGACTGAATTTGAGCAAGTCAGTAAGCCCATCACTGTGATGCTAAAATTCAAATTGCAATACATATATGATATGAAAACCATACGATTCATAAGAGTATCTATTATATTAGAAGTTTCCATAACTGTTCATTTCTTTCTGTAATTAAATAAAATACACTTCTATAAATATGAGAAAAAAATAAGAATAAAGGGACGTCTCTTGGGCACTCTTTATAAGAAATTTTAAACTTATTATACTCTCTCTCTCTCTCTCTCTCTGCTCCCTTCTTCATCCAATCTTAACTCCCAGAGCGTGTTCACGAAGGGCAATTTAGGATGCAACACATACACAACACCCTAAATATTGTTATTTGCATATCAAACATTCTCTTCCATCCATTGTTCAAAGTATCCTCAAATATCAAAATTTATGATAAAACCCAAACAATATTTTTTATTATTATCAAATTCTCACATAATATATATATATATA